CCTAGGCACAAATATATAGCTTTAGGCAACTTATTCTTCAAACTCTTTTGTCATCTGTAAAATGGGATTTATGCCATATTCTTCATAAAACAAAACACTTGGAATGATTACAATCTACTTCATATTACAATACCCAAAAGTTTCACTACCTGCAACTTCTAAGAACATTTGCCTCAATTCTCCTCTTAATTTCACCTGCTCATGTATAAAATGACTTGTACTTATATTTTCAGAGGCTCTTAGGTTGTATTTCCAAAATGTCCACTTAGACTAACTTTTGAGAATAGTAAAGACTACTACCAGGGGGAAAAAAATCACCTAATTCCATTATGGTGATGGTTGCACAACTCTATAAATGTTAAAAATCATTGCACTGTTTACTTAAAACTGGTTCATTTCATAGTATGTAAATTACATCTCAATAAAACTGTTAATAAGAGATTCTCTAATTCCATATTTGTGGCTCTTATATCATTTTTGGGCTCCAAAATCACTGCAGATGGTGACTGCAGCCATGAAATTAAAATATGCTTGCTTCACTGGAAGAAAAGTTATGACCAAACTAGACAGCATATTAAAAAGCAGAGACATTACTTTGCCAACAGAGGTCTGTCTAGTCAAAGCTATGGTTTTTCCAGTAGTCATGTATGGATGTGAGAGTTGGAATATAAAGAGCTGAGTGCCAAAGAAATGATGCTTTTGAACTTTGGTGTTGGAGACTCTTCAGAGTCCCTTGGACTACAAGGAGATGAAACCAGTCAATCCTAAAGAAAATCAGTCCTGAATATTCATTGGAAGGACTGATGCTGAAGCTGAAACTCCAATACTATGGCCACCTGATGTGAAGAACTGACTCACTGGAAAAGACCCTGATGCTGGGAAAGATTGAAGGCGGGAGGAGAAGGGGACAACAGAGGATGAGATGGTTGGATGGCATCACCTACTTCACGGACATCAGTTTGAGTAAGCTCAGAGAGTTGGTGATGGACAGGCCTGGCATGCTGCAGCCAGTGGGGTCACAAAGAGTTGGACACGACCGAGTGACTAAACTGATGATATCTTCAGAATTTAAGAATAAGGTAAAACAAGAGCCGGACACGACTGAGCAACTAAACAATAACAAAAAGCCATCTACCAAAACCCCTAAACAAACAAAAATGAATAAAGTTCAGTAGATGAGCCCTGCCATTGATTTACACCATCCTAAGAAATGGTCTGTAGAAGAAACCCAGATATTTGGTGCAACGTGATCAGAGTTACAGATAAATTACATAACTGTATCAAGGTAACCGTTTGTAATCTGAGCGCCTAAGAAACCAGCCAAGTTCCTCAAGTAGAGACAGCACTCAACGGACTCAACTTGCCGGACCGGAGCACTGCTCCCCAGTCTTCCAGCCCTGCTATCTAGGCAAACGCCCAATCCGCCTACGAGGAAGAGTGTCCGCCCTCGTTGGTCACGTGGCATCTAACCCCAGATCTGCGTGGGGGATCGGACAAAATCGAGACTTGCAAAGCTGACCACCTCACTGGCCAACCTGCGGTTACCCAGAACCCAGACGGAAATCACGCAGCGTTCCAGTTCCGCCGGCGGGCAACGGCGGGCTGGGCTTCAACCCTGGCCAAGAGTCTCCGGAGAAGTATTTCGAAACAGTCAGGGGCGCCACCCAGACCGTCCGATTCAGTATCGGGGTGGGGGCCCCAACACTAGTCTGAGGGTGCCGGGACCGAGAACGCTGGACACAGCCCCACACTCTGAAGCGCCCCACGAGGGAGCCGGGCCAGAACCCTTCAGGGAAAGACCTGCGCCCGCAGCCCGCATTGCGCTCCCGCGCGGGCCAGACTATCTCCAGCGAGTCCGCCCCTCGGCTCCGCCCCCTGCCCCTCCACCTACCGGCTGGATTCCCAATTCAGCTGGTTCCCCGCCTACACGAAGGTGCGATTTGGAATGGTCTTTCCACCAGCCAATCATTTCCCTCAGCCAGTCATCGTCAGCTCCGTATCTCCCCCGCCCTCTTTTCGCTTTCACAGAGAAAGCCCCACAAAAACAAGTGCTTCCTGCGTTCCAGCCGCTGAGGAATGCGCAGGCGCAGTAGCGCGAACTAGCAACCTGCCTAAGCTAGTGGAATGGACGGTTCCAAAGGAGATCCAACCAGTCCATCCTAAAGGAAATCAGTCCTGAATATTAAACTCCAATACTTTGGCCACCTGATGCGAAGAACTGACTCATTGAAAAGACCCTGATGCTGGGAAAAATTGAAGGCGGGAGAAGGGGACAACAGAGGATGAGATGGTTGGATGGCATCACCGACTCGATGGACATGAGTTTGAGGAAGCTCCGGGAGTTGGTGATGGACACGGAGGCCTGGCGTGCTGCAGTCTATGGGGTCGCAAAGAGTCGGACACGACTGAGCGACTGAACTGAACTGAACGCATTGGAGAGGGAGTTTGGCTGCGTTCCCCAGTGGAATCTTGAGTAGAAATGCTGCACTGCAAGGCGGAGTCGCCTCTGCAGCTGCACTTGTCGCTAGGGTGTGTTGGAGCGCTGGCAAAGGCTCAGAGTAGGGAAGGGGCACTAATAGCCCTTCTGGGAAGGGGACAACAGGCGCCTTGCAGTGAGGAAGTGTCCTCGGGCAATAAGTGCCTGGTGGCTGTACCTGCTGGCTCTTATACTTATGTGGCAACAAGCTCTGGTAAACTGGCCCGAAAGTGTTTGCCACAATCGGGGATGCCTGGAATCTAGAGTTGAACTCACAAGTCAGCTGGCCTTATAATAGGGATTTTATTTTGAATCGACCCAGGTGAGCCTGATGCAATCAAAAGAATCCTTAAGAGAGGAGGAGGGAGGCACAAGGAGAATAAGAGAAATAGTGGTGTTAGAAAGACTTGGCAAGCCTCAAGACCCTGGCTTTGAAGAGAGAAGAAGGCAATGAGCATAGACTGTGGAAATCTTCTAGAAGCTGGGGAAGATAAGGAAATGGATTCTCTCCCCTCCCCAGAAGGAACATAGCTCTGAGACCTCCAGAAATGTAGCATAATAAACATTTGATTCAGCCACAAAGTTTGTGATAACTTGTTACAGCAGCAGTAGGAAACTGATACACTGCCAAACTTTTCCAAAGTAATTTTACCAATTCATACACTTAAACAGATTTGAAAACATGTCATACTTTACCCCACACCACATGCACTGAACTGGAATCTCCAGATAGGTCCAGAAAATGTATTATTTTAAATTAGATGATTTTGCTGCATCTTGAAGGTTGAAAATTACTTGTCTAAATCCTTAAGTCTAAATTCATTTCTCGTTAACTGAACAGAGTGGCAGCAATTTGGTCACAAGATAAAAGCAGTTCTAGAAAAGACTTGTTCTAGGTACTGGAAAGGTTCCTCTCCCTCCTCTGCTCAGAGCTAACATAGCTGACCTTATACAGTGCTCTGTGGTTGAACAGTTTCTATTAACACAATTCATAAAGGAGCCTTAAGACTAAGGACTCTGTACTTAAAGATGAATTTTCTTTTACATGCTTATGAACTGACTCTTTGAGACTGCCAGACCTTGCCACTGTTCACATTCATGGAGAACTTGACCCTGGAACTGGTAGTACTTGCAGTTCCTCAGAAAGGAGGGGCTGGAGGAAGGGGTCCGGCAGCTTGTCAGGCTCATGGGGGTGTGCTATCCTTCCAGCTCTTAGAAGCTGAGGCTGGAGCAGTCACCTGACCCCCCCGACCACTGACCCTGGGGGAATCCTGAACAAGGTGGTTTTCTTAGAGCTTGAGCAGGTTGGGCTGTAGGTGGAGGCTCTGCGCAGGGTGTCCTTACCTTTCCTTAAGGACAGTCTTCAGAAAAAAAGGTAAGTGAACCTCTTGCATTGCCTCCAGGGATCCTGGAATTACCTTACTTGGTAATGATACCACCAACTGCTGACCTCCACTTGGCGACAAATTCAAAAGTCCTCAGAAGCCCTGGGCAGTTTTTATTAAAAATATCTGTCATCAAAAGGAATGAAGAGTGAGCCAGTGTTCAAACTATAAACTAGTAGGAGCTAGTAGTTCAAGTACTTTCCTGACAAGTGTCAAATGTCAGTTTCCCTTTAAAATTTTAAACACTCCATGGCATGCTGAGATCTTGCAGTGCTCCAGAGTGCCTTGGCACACATTTGAGAACCATGGCTGTGAGCATTTTAGAAGTTGACTCATCTTTTCCTTGAATGAGCATTCAAGAGAATCATTTTCTCCCAAAGTGTTACTACTATAAGGTCCAGTGTAACATCACTTCTTCCACCCTGAAGATCCCTCTAAAACTAAGCCCCACAGGAGATCTTTTCAAATGACAACAGCAGGCACTGAGTGTCCACAGGCCTGTCCAGATTCTGACCTGTTCCTACAGAGGACATCTTGGATAAATCTAAAACTATCTTGTAAAGATGAACAGTTTCCTGTTCTAAGTAAAATTTAGAAATAATATATTTTAAAACATCATTAACTTACACATCTATCTACAATTAGGAAAACACTGGCAGACACTATTAACTAAGAAAAATAAACTATCGTCTTGCACATTATTAATAATTCCTAATGAGTTTCCTACCTTTCAACATTTAATATCTGATTTTCAAACTGTCAGTTACTCAAATAGATAAAATAGATTCAAATTATAGACTGTAACTTTACCTAGATTCATAAGGGGGTATACCCCAAAAAACCATTCATTCTAGACACAAGCCATTAACGTAGATACGAATATTCCAACTAAGGGCTAGTTCTGCTTAAAATACAGGTAATAAATAAAATTAGATACTATACATTATAATAACAATCCAGACTAGACCACAAATAAATGTACAGAACATGATTGCAACAAAGAAAAGTGAATTGCCAAATATCAAAGGAGAGAACAGATTTAACTGAAAAGTTTCAAATGAATTTTATTCATAATGTAACCATATTCAAGATGCTAGAGGAAATGTCCATATTTGTGAGTTCTTGTTGGCAGAAATTCTTTATTCATTATCCTGTCCAGTCTCACGCTCAGAAGCCATCTTTGACTTGTCAGATGCTTCATATACTTGTATAATAAGCCTTAGGTGATTGATGATTTTCTTGTCTGCTGTTTTCATGTTAAAGCCCAACATCTTCATAATAGTTTCTCGAAAGTCAACAGGCTACAAAGAACCACCCCCCAAAAACCAAGGTATGTCATGAGTTGATCACCTTACTATGTACAATGAAATATTAAGAAATTTAGCTTTATTAAACATTTCTTTATGAAGTATAACATATTCTACATTCAAATGTATTTTTAAGCTAAAAAAACTCTATTATAAGAAATCTAAACTTACTTTTATATTTTAAGATTTGTTTTTAGTTTTACAATATTATAGGATAAACTTAATTTTATTGCTGCTTGTTTTTCATCCATGAGGTAATTATTTTGGAGGCTTCTGATTTGCTGTAGGTAATAGAGTCCCCGAAGTACATCTCTCTCCACCCATTCTCTAAAACTATAGTGATCAAAAGGAGAGTAGATAAAATCATCCATAAATCATGCCTAAAGCACAAGTAGAGACTACCACAGACTTCATTCTGCATGTAAGTGGGGAAATAAATATTCTAAACCAGCAAAGGCTAGTTCAGAACCCAAGCTGGAGTATGCAGCTAGATTCCTCTGGTGTCCCAGATTCGGGACCGTTCACAAAGGAGGAAATACTAAGAACAAGTCAGAACTGGTAGATCAGAACACTGGTGTCTGTGGAAAGAAAAGAAAGGTGCATAAAAGTATGTGAGAGCAGAAAAGGCAGATCTAGAGGGCAAGGTTTCTGAGGAGGCTTCGTGATAAAGGAAAAGGAAAAAGCAAGCACTGGAAATTAGGGACTTATATAAACAAGAGAGTACTGCAGAAACAGACATCACATAAACCCCACCCCAAAATAAAAGGCTTGACTTCCTAAGTAAACCTTAAGAAGCTGCACTCATCATGTCAACGGAAGAGAGTGGTATTGAGTTAAGAAACCTAGTATGTAAACCCTGCCCCCTAGTACTAAAATAGAAATACCTGAAATTGAAAGGCAAGACAATTAAAGGGATTTTAAAGTGAATAGATAAATGGCAAATATGCATTCAAAATTATGATGAGAAGAAAACAGAAAAGCACTAACATCCAAACTGTTCAGGGCTCATAAGACCCTTTCTTGAGATTCTCTCTCCTGTCACAGAAACTCTAACCCTGTGGCTGTCAGTCAGACAGAAGTTGACTGAGAGATGCCAAGAAGAAATGGTGACAAAGGCCTTATATTGAAGATTCCAGGTGCTGATCCATAGCCCAGGTGCATCTCTCTGTCTTGGAGCTCTGTTTGTTTAACTCTGATTCCACAAGGCAATCAATTCTCTTTTGTCTAAGTTAGGGTAGTCTAAATTGAGGTGGGTGTTTATCACTTCAACTTAAAGAATTTTAATATAGTATTAAAAGAAAACAAACCTCTTCTTGTTTTCCCGGTACTTCTTCAAGTGTGCTCTTTGCTGTGCTGAGCTCAGGAGTAGCAGTTTCTAACATTTGATGGACCTTCTTTTTATCCCATCTTGCTTCTTGCTCATCAGAGTGTACTGTAGTGTTCAGGTCTGTTTCCATAGCTGCCTTCCCTTTCATTGCTTCAACTTTTGTTAGAGATTCCCTGAGCTTCTCAATTGTTTTGTCCTATGAAGGTAGAGGTTGTGGGCAAGGAGAAGACTACGATTAGATTTCTTCTAAGTAACAGACAGGCATGATGCATGATAACTCATGCTTTTATACTTTCTTCCTCTCTCTTTTTCTTTTATGAGCTAGATAATGTAGAAAAAGAAAATTCCACAATTTACGAATTAAGAGGACATTTCTCCACTATGTTCATCAATAACCAATAGTTAATGAGAACTTTTATTAACTAGGCATTTGGGATTTAAAGAGGTTTAACACATGTTCCATGTTCTCAAGAGTCTTAGTCTGTGGTAATCAAACACAGAAATAGAGAATAACTGGATACAGTAAGATTAAATATTCTTGATAAACTGGCAAAAAAAGTTGATCAATAAGTGTCTAGTGCATCTTTCGTTTCAGACATAAAATGTACTTTCGAAATACTACAACTGAAGCTTGATGTAGTGAAGATCCAAAGATACTCTGATTCTTAAGATGAGTGGTGGATTTACAGCATCTAACTTTATTATTCTATATGTTTAATTATATATATTATTTTTATGGGTGTAAAATAATTTTAAAGTTCAATAGAAACATACAGCAAAAACAGTAACAGAACAAAACTTAAGTGAATTTTTGAAAGTCTCACGTCCTTTACTTACTTTAAGGATATTTACTCTTGTCAGTTGAGTTTTCATATTTTTATTTGACAATTTCAAGTCACTGAGCTGTTTCTGAAGTTTCTGAATTTTCTCCTCTAATCTTTGAGTTGTAACAATCTGAAAATTCTGCTGAATATTCAGTAATGTTTCTTGCTTGTTGTCTTTCCCTAGCTGCTTGAATGTTTTGCCATGCTTATCCACCTGGGAAATCTTAGATTGAGAGTTTTCCTTTACAGAAATCAACAGTATTGAAATAAAGAAGCTATGCTTTAAGATGGTATTCCACATTAGCATACCAGATTTACTCTAGATTGACAAATTATAGACTTAATTCTTATATAAATAGGATAGTTTTCACCATAAATATGCATTATAATAATTCAGAAAATAAAATATGACAGTAAAAGTGATGGCTTAATGCTAACAAGGGTACATTTAAGCAGACAATTTATAAACACCACGTGATAGCATGTATTAGTTTAACTTTTCTAATAAGGTATGATTAGGAAATAATAAAATATTTAGATAAAGACTCAAGCAGAAAGATATCCTCTACAACATTATTTATAACATGCAGAAATACAAATGTCAAAAAATAATTAAATTACATGTGATTAATTAATACATTTCATGTATTAAGAATTAATATATTTCTTTTTGGGTTTTTTTCCTTAATATATAAATTTTATTGAAATTATAGTTGACTACAGTATTTCAGGTACACAGTAAGGTGATTCGGTTACACATATATTATTTTTCAGATTATTTTCCATTATAGGTTATTATAAGATATTGACTATTGTTTCCTGTTGCTATATAGTAAACCTTCGTTGCTTGTTACATATCCTTTTTTAAAAAATATAAATCTAGCATTCCATTCAGATTAAGACATTTCTTATAAATCAAGTTTTCAAAAATACTTACTAAGAGAAAATGCTAATGATATAGTTAAATGAAAGAACCAGGATGAAGAAAAATTATGCCTGTCTCAGTTATGTTAAAATATTCATGCAAAATAGTCATAGTAAAATATACCTATATGTTAACACTGGTTATCTCAAAGTGGTAGAATTACTGGCTATTTTCATTGTATCCTTTCTACTATTTTGTACTTTGTAAAGTTACTACCAGGAAAGAGAGAGAAAGAGAAGAGGTGCAAATTTAATAAAGATACCACATATTTTCATTATACATGAACTAAAAATTAATAAAATACATTTCAAAGAATCACTAGTTCTTCCAATAAGAAAGTAGATACTCCAGGCAAGGCCAGTTAAAGAAGGAAGAGGGACTGCCCTGGGGGTCCAGTGGTTGAGACTCTGCCTGCCAATACAGGGGACACAGGTTTGATCCTTGGTCCTGGAGTATTCCACATGCCAGGGAGCAACTAAGCCATGTCCCACAAGTACTAAGCCCACAAGCCACAACTACTGAGCCAGTGTGCTGAAACTACTGAGCCCACTTGCCACAACTGCTAAAGCCCACTTGCTCTGGAGCCCATGACATACAACAGGAGAAGCCACCTGAAAAAGAGGTTTGTGCAGCACAACTAGAGAATAGCCCCTGCCTGCTGCAACTAGAGAAAGCCTGCACCCAGCAATGAACACCCTGCTCAGCCAAAAATAATAAATAAATAAATACATTTTTTAAATTTTAAAAAAGGAAGAGAAAATGAAAATACTATTAGGAAAGAGAAACATACAGAACTAATGTACATAAATTAGTTTTATAATGAGAAAAAAATTACTTAAAATGTTATTACAAATGTCTTAACCCATTAAAAAATAAAACAAGTAACGTATTAAGGAATAAGAATGAGAATGGCACCATTTTTCTTAAAAACACACTGGAAATCAGAAGACAATGGAGTAATGCCTTCAAATCTCTGTGTGAAAATAAAGTCTAAACCCAACTATCAACTGATCCTGAAGGTAAACAACAACAAAAAGACCTTGTAAGTTATTCACAGAATTTTTTCCCTCCAAGATACCATTTCTTAGAAATCTATTAGAAGATGTACCTCAGCAAAATAAGAAAGTTAATCAAAAGAAAGGAAGACAAAAGATTCAGGAAACAGTGCAACCTAACCAAGAGACTGGAGAAGAAAAGTCACAGGATTATATCTGTGCCCAGGCCCACAGAGCAAACAGTCCAGACTGATGCAAGAGAATTAAGGAGTCTGGATGAGAAAGAATGGGAGATTTTTGTAGATTATAAGATCATCTGACATAGTATTGGGGAAGAACTAATAAGTGAATGTTGAAAATTATACATATGAAAATACAAGAAAACTATTAACTCTAGGAAAAATAACACACACTACTACAAGAAAGGAAATGTCACAAGAGTATAATACTGGGCATTTTGTAAACATTATTTAGTGTCATAGAGAAGTAAATGCTGATTATGGATTTAGCTAAAAATACTGACTGGGACGATAGATATACTGGGACGATAGAAGGTGGAGGGGGAAAGAGATAAACCTTCATCTATCATATAATAGGAAGTCAACAGATAGTGTCTAAAACAAATAACTCAAGACATAGCAATATAAGGGCTTCCCTGGTAACTTAGCTGGTAAGAATCCACCTGCAAGGCAGGAGATCCTGGTTCAATTCCTGGGTTGGGAAGATACCCTGGAGGAGGGCATGACAGCCCACTCCAGCATTCTTGCCTGGAGAATCCTCATGTATTGAGGAACCTGGCAGGCTACAGTCCTTGGAGTTGTGAAGAGCTGGACATGACTGAGCACTGAGTAAGCACAGCACAGCACACATAGCAATATAAGCAAATTATTTAAGAAACTGGAGTTTACTACCAGAAGCAATAGCTAAAATGGTTAAAAGTAGTTCCCTCTGGGAAATAGGATAGGTGAAAGTACAGAAATGGGCTGTTGCTTTTCAATAGAAGACATGTGGTATATTTAATTTTTTAAAAATATATGTATGTATAATATATACATATAAGTGTAAAAGATAAAAAAATTCTCCTAAATAACTGCAGCTCAAAGAAGAAATGAAAATTAATAGAAAATTATAAACATTTATAAAATGCAGTGAAAGAACTTCATATAAAAATATACTGAACAACTTATAGAGGAATATTTACAGCCTTTGCTGTTTTTATGAATTAAAACAAGGGAAACCCCCCCCCAAAGAGCATATTCACATAAGGAAAAAGAGAAACAAGGGGTATAGATTTAATAAAGATACCATATATTTTCATTATGTATACATCAAAACTAAACTGGTAAAATGTATATAAAAAAGAATCATTAGTTCTTTGGAAAGATAAAATAGGTGTCCCAGGCAAGTCTGGTTAAGGAGGAAAGAGAGAAAGTGAAAACACACAATATTAGAAAGGAGAAACATACAGAATACACAGATATAGAAAACATGAAAAGAATTCTAAACACTACTTTGTAACTCAGTGGCAATAAGTTGAAAACCTAAAAGAAATACATAGTTTCCTATAAAACAATATAATATTCAACTGTATCGAGAAATCCCTAGAACTCTAGTAAATTATTGAACTTCATAAGTAAATTCAGTAAGGTGGTGCATGCGTACATGTGTGTGAGCTCAGTCGCACAGTTGTGTCCGACTCTTTGCCACCCATAGACTGTAGCCTGCCAGGCTTCTCAGTCCATGGGATTCTCCAGGCAAGAGTACTGGAGTGGGTTGCCATTTCCTTCTCCAGGGGATCTTCCTGACCCAGGGATTGAACCCAGATCGCCCGCATTGCAGGTGGATTCTTTACATCTGAGTCACCAGGGAAGCCATTAAACTTTTAAATACTGAGGAAATCCAGTGGATAGGACTCAGCACTCTCACTGCTAGGGCCCTGGATTTGATTGCTGGTCAGGGAACAAAAATCCTGCAAGCTATGTGGTGCAACCAAAGGAAAAAAAATACTCATACACTGTATTGAACTCATACACTAACTGAACGCATTTAGAACTCAATCCCATAGAGAAAGGGGGCTTCCCAGGTGGCGCTAGCAGTAAAGGATCTGCCTGCCAATGCAGTAGATGCGAAGAGATGAGGGTTCAATTCCTGGGTCGAGAAGATCCCCTGGACTAGGAAATGGCAACCCACTCCAGGATTCCTGCTGGAAAATCCCATGGACAGAGGGTCCTGGTGGGCTACAGTCCATGGGGTAGCCAAGTAGAACACAACTAAGTGACTGAGCACACACACCCATCCAGAGAGGGAGAAAGCACCAGTGTGGAAATATATATGCATGAACATACTTATTTCAGCATTATTTGTAGTGGCATAAAAAGTAGGAATAAGAGAACGACCATCAATAGTTCTTAATAGGGAACTGGTTAAATAAGTTATATATATAGTATGGAATATTATGCAACTGTAAAGGAATGAGTTAAACCTGTATCTTTGGATCTAAGGAAAGACCATGAAGTACTTACTTATCAAAGTAAGATGAGTATTTTGACTAGTACAGTCCCAATTTTGTAAAAATGTCAACATTTACATATACGTATATACTCATATATTTCCATAATCACTGCAATAGTTATAGAAGATATAGATACATTGGTTACTGAGGTGAAATAGGCAGAAAGAGGGTTAGAGAAGATTGTTATTATTTTCATCAAATCTTTTAGCATGGTTTCAAGGGTTGTGGAAAGCATGTGCTGTTTATATATTCTTAAACTTTAACATAATAAATTTTAAATTTTTTATGTGGAAATGAATCATTGTCAACCACATTTTCAAGAGCAGAGGGAGACGCTGGATTCATCTTTGTGCTCTGGAGTGCACTGCCAATACCACTGTACCAAGTGCTGGAAGTTTTTAAAAACTGAGTGATCAAACTATATGGGGTCAATGAATGAATGAATGAATGGAATGACAAGTCTCAGTAGTGAGTGAGTGAGTTTATACTCTGGGGCACAGCAAGTATAGAAATAGCATAGCATGGGTATGGGTGTGACAAGCAATTCTGTGAAGAGGCAGTGAAATAGAATCAAGATCTCCTGAAAAACATCCTACCTATTCCCATTCCACTTTAGGATTGACTTTATAGATGCAGAGAAGCAAAAAATAGAAAAGGAAATGGCCTATAAGGTAATTATTGAGGAATTTCACCAACAGCCCCTTCCCAATGCCCACCATATCTGACACGGTAGCTAAAATTCCATCTTTAGAGAGTCATTACTTTGAATTCATTTCCCTCTAATCTTTTTTTAAAAGTATATTAAGAAGTACATTGTTTATTAATGTATATAGAATCTAGAAAAATAATGCTGATGCACCTATTTACAGAGAAGAAATGGAGGGGCAGATGTAGAGAGTGGACTGGTGGACACAGTGGAGGAAGGAGAGGGTAGGACAAATTGAGAAAGCAGCACTGGCATATATACACTACCCTGTGTAAAACAGGTAACTAGCAGGAAGCTGCTGTATAACACAAGGAGCCCAGCCTGGCGCTCTATGATGATCTAGAGGAGTGGAACGGGTGGGAGAGAGGCTCAAGAGGAAGGGAATATCTGTATTATTATTACTGATTCGCACTGATGTATGGCAGAAACCACTACAACATTGTAAAGCAATTATCCTCCAATTTAAAAATATATATATCAACAAATGCCCTTACAATAAATATCAAATGTGTACAGTAGAAAAATGAGAGATATGGAATAAGGAGAGGTTTTTTGATAAAATCAGAAGGTTCAAAATTTGTAGCAAAATTTCCTCCCTTTCCCACTATTAAAAAAGTACAAATAGCATAAATAGCTTTGAACATTAGATGATATAGGATGATCATTTTCATTGTCAAAAAAATGCCTTATACTTCAGGAAATTCTTACTTTGTTCATGTCCAAATCTAATTTCCCTTGAAAAAGGTCATTAATAGCAATTTTTCCTTCCAGACATTTCAAGGGTCTTTTTTGTTCCGTATGCTTTTTCTCAATGTCGGATAGTCCTCTAGCAGTTTCTTCAGAGTGATGAGATTGCTTCTCCAATCGCTTAGTGAGCATCTGAATTTCCTGCTGGAGGACTTCAGCTCTCTGTAGGGAAAAAAAAATAGATAAAACATCCCAATGGTCCATGATTTCTATTTTCTTTTTTTTTTTTTCTTGTTTTTATTTTATTATTTTATTTTTTTATTTTTTTTTTACATGTATTCCCCATCCCGGTCCCCCCTCCCACCCATGATTTCTATTTTCAAAACTATGTGCAAGTTCTACTTATGTCAACATTATAGTAATGAAATTAAAAGACTCTTACTCCTTGGAAGGAAAGTTATGACCAACCTACATAGCATATTAAAAAGCAGAGACATTGCTTTGCTGACAAAGGTCCGTCTAGTCAAGGCTATGGTTTTTCCAGTAGTCGTTTATGGATGTTAGAGTTGGACTACAAAGAAAGCTGAGCGCCGAAGAATTGATGCTTTTTAACTGTGGTGTTGGAGAAGACTCTTAAGAGTCCCTTGGACTGCAAGGAGATCCAACCAATCCATCCTAAAGGAGATCAGTCCTGGGTGTTCATTGGAAGGAATGATGTTGAAGCTGAAACTCCAATACTTTGGCCACCTGATACAAAGAGTTGACTCACTGGAAGAGACCCTGATGCCGGGAAAGATTGAAGGCAGGAGGAGAAAGGGATGACAGAGGATGAGATGGCTGGATGGCATCACCAACTCAATGAACATGAGTTTGAGTAAACTCCAGGAGTTGGTGATGGACAGGGAGGCCTGGTGTGCTGCAGTCCATGGTGTCGCAAAGAGTTGGACACAACGGAGCGACTGAACTGAACTGAACACTGTTACTAAATAGATGAATGGGGAAAATGTTTAAGAAGACTCAACATGTATAAGCTGGTTTTAAAAAAAAGAAACAAAGGTTTGATATACAAAAATAAGACATTTTAGTGAGTACTGAGAAATAAAATAGTATAATGAATTTTAAGAGAGAGAGTGTAAAAAAATTATGACTGTACAATAAGCATACTACCATGTAGCAGGTTTTACTAACACTGCTGCTGCTGCTGGTGCTGCTAAGCCGCTTCAGTCGTGTCCGACTCTGTGCAACCCCACAGACGGCAGCCCACCAGGCTCCCCCGTCCCTGGGATTCTCCAGGCAAGAACACTGGAGTGGGTTGCCATTTCCTTCTCCAAAGCATGAAAGTGAAAAGTCAAAGTGAAGTCGCTCAGTCATGTCCGACTCTTCGCGACCCCATGGACCGCAGGCTACCAGACTCCTCTGTCCATGGGATTTTCCAGGCAAGAGTACTGGAGTGGGGTGCCATTGCCTTCTCCACTAACACACTGAATTTAAGCAATACCTATTTTCATTTGAATGTTAGGATGAACAGTGATGAAATTTTACTGCAATAATTTGAACATAACAGGAGATATATCCACTTGAACTTGCTGGATCAATCTTTTGATAGACTTGACCAGTATATTCACACAAATGACTGACTTGATAATTTACTTCACTGCACTGACTAAACTGACCAGTGTTTGGTCATGACAGAAACATTATCCTCACCACACCACTATTTTTAAACTAACATTCACTGAGCTTACACTGACCTGTACTAAGCATTTATTATGTATTAATCCATTTAATCCTTACAACCATTCTGTGGTACCCGAACTATATCCCCCCCAAACCCACTCCCACTCCTGCCAAAATTTATAAAACTGAGGCACAGAGAGCATAAATAACCTGCCCAAGAGCACATATTTGGTAATTGCAGAGCTGGAATTCATACCCGGCCTCTCTGCTCTTAAACACACTATATTACCCCTATTGTGATGGACATCTTCGTCCCTCTTATCACTATAGTAATCAAATCAGAGCCACAGGGTTTACCAAATTAACATCAAAATCCACATCTTAAAACTAGTTTGAAAACTCATCTGTTGATACACTTACAGACTTCCAAGATTGATCATTTGCACCAGTCTCCAGAATGCTCTCTTTCACAGCTTCCTCTATGGCTGGTGTGGGTTCAACACTGTTGCTGGGAAGAGCAGACAGCCGACTGAGGAATTTCTGATAGCGGGATCGCGCTGTTTTAGTTTCCCAGTTGTATGAAAGTGGAGGTATATCTAACTCAGGTATTTGTTTTTCCTTATGGATCAAATCTTGTTGACACTTATCCCAAATTTTCTGTCCATCTTTTGGTCCTTCAGAGCGAAAAGTGTTGTCTCTCTCAAACAGGATAGCTTCATCCTTATCCTAAATATACCAACACATGTGTTAAACTTCTTATTTGGAATTTAATATCAAGACATCTATTTGTCCTTTTGAAATATAAGTATAGTCAAAACACAGAACTTGAGGAGAAAAGGCTCTCTATAGAAACAAAGAGTTACAGAGTTATAAGAGAGATAACATACTCATAAGAGTAAACTAGAATATCAAGAGGTATTAAAATACCTCTTGGGGGGCATATGGGAAGGGCAAAAAAAGTGATGTTATGGAGAAAGTATTTTGAAAACACAGGAAGTTTACCTTAGAGAAGTGGCTAACCAACTGCTCCAGTTTATGAAGGGACTGTTTACAGAATATTTTGAGGTAATGAATGTAGAAGGAATGATAGAATTTCACAGCTCAGCATTTTGGTTCTCCTAATAAAATAACTGATTTAGGCAAGGATCATCAATGAATGCTAAGACTAAGTGAAAAGTTGGCAGGGAAATGGATATTTTCATAAAGACTTAATTATGATTATAGAACATCATTTAATAGTAACAGTTTTGATAATGTAAAGTCATAAATAAGTCACATTTCTTTCCCCCAACCTTTCCCTTGTAAGCACCCTGCTTTCATTGTAAACAGGAAAAAATAAAAGATAACGCAATACTACTGCTTCACCCTACTTCTCCAGGAAGATTCTGCCTTTATAAATTCTTTTCACCTTCAATTCTGAAAACTGAGTAAATAAGTTTACTTTCTGGACTTTTTGTCTTGTGAAACTGGGAGATAGAAGGAGAGCTAGAGTCGTTGAAGTAATGATGGGTTTGTCTCACTAAAACCTAGGGGGAAAAAAAACAGGTAGAATAAAAGAGAAGTAGAAGAAAAGGTCAGAGCTACACAGACTGGTGTGGGAGAGTTTTTCAGAGATATGACAGAGAAGTGAAAAACATAGAAAGTGTTACTGTGAATTACTTAAAGAGGTAATTAAAAATTGGAATTACTTTAAACTCCGAAAGTAGTTGCTGAATTTATAAAGTGGAACCCCTCATATTAACTGGATCATGATGGACCTTATTTTACATTCAGAATATTATAAACCTTCAGAAGGGCATGACAACCGACTCCAGTATTCTCGCCTCAAAAATTACACAGACAGAGAAGCCTAGCGGGCTACTGCCCATGGGGTTGCAAAGAGTCAGACATGACTGAAGCAACTTAGCATGCATATAGTAAACAACTATAGTCTATGATTTCAGAATAAACTTTTACCACTTCCTTGACAGCAATTCATCTCCCATCCTCCTTCAACATTCCTCCATAAAACTTCTATTCATCCTGTGAATTGCTATCTCCTAGGGACCAGGCTAACCTCTTCCTTCTGAACCCAACTCATGCATACATCTAGATTTCAGTATCCAGTGTAGATGATCCGCCAGTTTAGTTTTGTGACCCTTGTGCCTCAGTTTCAATGACTTTCTTCTACACCCCTGTTCAATCCTTATACCCAAATCCAAAAACCCAGATTTTGTCAGCAGCAGGAGCTACCCCATACCAGAAATTTAAAACTTCAATATTTCACTCTCTAACCACCACCTCGTCCCAGTTCTCTCACAGCTCCATTCCCTCTCACCTCCTCTTTAGTATCACAGAGACCTTCAGATCTGCCTTGCACTTTCTCTCCATACTTCAGAAATGCTTTCAGCTCACCGTGCTGTACTGCTTCCTTTTATCCTCCACAAGAAGAGGACCAGCAGACCACTCAACATTTGCCAATCATCTCTTGGAATAACATAAAGTAACAAAAATCCTTTTTCTTCAAAAATCAATCAAAATTTGTTCTCACCTTTGTCATGAAACCATCCAAGGAATCTTCTTGTTCTTTCATACTCATATAAGGGGTGAATCTGTTAGCACCTGCTAACTTTTTCTCCAAAAGGTCTGCTTTTTGCTCTGCTCTTTTTCTTTCAATCAGATGTACTCTGTGTAAGATATTGGCAGGTAACAATATCATGAAACCAATTTTTCGAACTTCAAATAATAACAAGAAATATCCCCATTTAAAACAAATTAAATATGTATATCAAGTAAAAATGTATTCCTTATGAAAAGAGCTGTGCAAGTTCCCAGATTATTTCTAGGAAGAGATGAGAAATGGCAGAGAAATGGAGAGAATCATTCAATGTTAAGTCTGTAGTAGTTCCCCTGGGAGAGGTCAATTTTGAAACCACTCTTTTTCAAGAGGAAAGTTGAGTATGAATATGTCTCTGCTACTATGATAATATTGTGATGATCAGGAGGTTCCACATGGGTACAAGTACCATGGGCCTGTATTGCAAGTTCCACATCCATGGATTCAGGCAACCATGGATTGAAACTATTCAAAAAAATTTTTTTTCAGAAAGTTCCAAAAAGCGAAACTTAAATTTGTCTTACACCAGCAACCATTTACATAGGATTAGCTATTACATGTAATCTAGAGTTGATTTAAATTACACAAGAGATGTGCATAGGTTATATGCAAATACTGTATTATTTTATATAAAGGATTTAGCATGTGCAGATTTTGGTAGTCTCAGGGGTCCTAGAAACATCCCCTGCAGACACTGAGGCACAAGGAATGAAGGACAACTGTATTCCCATTTTAGGAACACCCTCATGGGCTCTCCAACTGAATCCCTGAATAGAGTTTCAAGAAAGGTAAAGGAATTAGAAATGGTACAATAGAAAACAGCATATGTAAAAACTTGTTTTATTATCAAATACAAACAGCTAATTATTTGGTTCTTATTTTGATTAACAATTGATAGGTTTGATAATAGTTTCTACCTTGAAGCTAAGTTAAAGTTTCAGTCCACCTTCCATGTTTTTTATATTCTTTTCTATAGAGGATTTGCATCCTGCAGAATTAGTGAATATGGGTCAGGTCAAAGAAAATATCTGAATTATCTCAGAGAAAATATAATTCAATAAAATTATATTGGAGACATGTAGGTCACACTCAAAAGGTCATTGCTTGTAATTATAGCCTTAGAATGAGAGTAGACACAGAATGAGATAGAAACAATACTTTAAAAAATACTTCCCAAGAATTTTTGAAACCTGATGAAAAACATCAATTGATAGATTAAGTAAATTCTGCAAATCCAAAGTAGGATAGATACAAAGGCGCCACACCAAGATATATAATCATCAAATTTCTACCAATTAAAAGTCAGAGAAAAAGCATATATTACCTTCTAACATATAGCTATGAGACTGAACACCGGCTTTTCAAAGAGAAACTATGTAAGTCAGAAGAACTGAAGAATACTTTAGAGTGCAGAAAGAAAAAATACTGGCAACCTAGAGCTCTATACTCAGTAAAAAAAAAAAAAAAAAAAAATACCCTTTCAGAAGGAAAAATGGAAAAATTCATCCTTAGAAGAACTGCATTAAATTGCAGAAAAATTACAGGCAATTTTTCAAAATAAAGGAAAACCATCCCTGGTGGCTACACAGAAAGGAATGAAGAGCACCAGGAGTGAGTGTGTGGGTCAATAAAAATTAATACTGAAAATTAATATCTTATGAGATTTATAACATTTGGAAAAGTCAAATGTATCATAACAATAGTACAGGAGCATAAGATGGGTAAGTAGAGTTACATTGTTATAAGATTTCTATTTTCAGATAACATAATAGTACTAATCTAGACTTTAATTGTAATCACAAGGTTTAAGGTAAAAAGTTAATGATAATTTAAAAGATATCTAAAAATAACACAGGAGAAAAACAGTAATAAAAACTTGATTAATCTAAAAGAAAGTGGTGGGGACTTCCCTAGTGGTCCAGTGGTTAAGAATCCACCTGCCCTGAACACTTGTCTCATGCATCCAACCTGGGCTGGTGATCTGTTTCACCCTTGATAGTATACTTGTTTCAATGCTGGAGGCGGGAGGGGGGATCGGGATGAGGAACACATGTAAATCCATGGCTGATTCATGTCAATGTATGGCAAAAACCACTACAATATTGTAAAGTAATTAGCCTCCAACTAATAAAAATAAATGGAAAAAAAAAAAGAATCCACCTGCCAATTCAGGGGACACAGGTTTGACTTCCGGTCTGAGAAGATTCCATTTGCCATGGGGCAGCTAATTGAACCCATAAGCCACAACTACTGAAGCCCACACACCCACAACAAGAAAAGCCACCACAATGAGAAGCCCACACATCGCAGCTAGAGAGTAGCCTCTTCTCACTGCAACTAGAGTAAGCCTGCACACAGCAATGAAGAACCAGCCAGACAAAAATAAATGAATAAATAAATTAGTCAAAATGGATCAAAGATAAAATTTTAAGTATTAAAACAGTAACTATTAAAATAAAACATATGTGTAAACCTTTGTGATACTAGATTAGGTTTCTTTGCTATAACACTAAAGACACAAAATGACAAAAGAAAAAAAAAGATAACCTTCATCAAAAATTTTTAGAAAACAGCCTGGAAGTTGCTCAGTTAAACAAAGAGTTACTTTACAACCCAGCAATTCTACTCCTAAGGCATTTAACTAAGAGAACTAAAACTTACAGTCATGTAAGAGTTCACACAACAATGTATATAACAGCTCATTCATAAAGTCCCTTGCAAAGAAAGCAACCCAATGTTCATCAACTGATGAATGGACAAACAAAATGTGGTATACCCTTATAACAGAATGTTATTCAGCCATAAAAAATTAAGTACTGATTCAGGCTAAATATTGATGTATCTTAGAAACACTGTGCTAAATTAAAGAAGTCAGACACAGAGGCCATATATTGTGACATTTCATTCAATTTCATTCATATGAAATGTCAAGAAAAGGCAAGCCCATAGAGAAAGACAGTAGACTGCTGGTTGTCAGAAACTGGAGAGAGTGGACTGGGGAGTAACTATTAGTAGACATGGATATTTTTAGGGGTTGATGAAAGTGTTCTAGAATTAGAGTGTGGTGATGTTTGTACAACCTTGTGAATATACTAAAAACTACTAAACTGTATGTTGCAAAAGGGTGAATTTTAATGGAATGGAAATTATATCTCAATTAAAAATTTAATTTTGAGTCAGGTATGTTAATTTTGTTAGATTTAAATTTTGTGATCAGTCAGGAGTATGAAGTTCATATAGTATTTGTAAGCTTATGAAAAATGAATGACATTTTTGAAAACAAACCAGAAAATTCCCTACCTTAGAAGATTTTCTAGTTCTGTAATTCTTTCAGTTAGATCCCAGTTGCCTCTTTCAAGACTCTGAATACTGGTGTTTTTCAAAGATTTAATTCTGGTTAGAGAAGCAATAAGTTCCTCTAAGTCCTTGATATCATCTTTCAGGGACATTATCTGGAATGACTGTTGCACATTATTTTCTTTGTAAGTTTCTAGCTCACTCTTCATCTCTTGCAATGAAGTTTCTTTTATGAAAAGTTTGTTTCGAAGATTTCTTAGCTAATGAGAAAAGACAAGTGTTATTTTAAAATCATTTATAATTTTGGCTTTAGAAAATCCATGATTTTAAAATCATTATGAGCATTTAAATTATACACTACACAATAAAATGAGGATGTTTGAATCTCCTAACAGTAGATTCCAATATTAAATATGCTTAAAAAATCTTATCAGGGCTTCCCTGGTGGTCCAGTGGTTAAGAATCTGTCTTGCAATGCAGGGGACATGGGTTTGATCCCTGGTCTGAGAAGATCCCCAAAATGTTGTGAGGCAACAAAGCCTGTGAGCCACAACTAGAGAAAGCCTATGTGCAGCAACAAAAGACCCAGTACTGCCAAAAATAAATAAATTTTTAAAAATCATATCAAATTGATACAAAAGATTTGGAATAAGTAATTTTATTCTCATCAGCATTAAACTTATGGTTCCCAAGGGGTAAGGAGGAGAGGGATAAATTGGGAGACTGAATTTTACATATACATACTACTATATATAAAATAGATAATAGGGACCTACTGTATAGCACAGGGACCTCTAATCAATATTCTAGAATGACCTATATAGGAAAATAATCTAAAAAAGAGTAGATACATATATAACTGATCCACTTTGCTGTACACCTGAAATTAACCCAACATTGTAAATTAACTATAATAAAATTTTTTTCTTTCATCTGTTTGTTTTTAGTTTTATTTTTTTCATTTATTTTTATTAGTTGGAGTCTAATTACTTTAAAATATTTTGGTGTACTGGGAAGACCCAGAGGGATGGGATGGGGAGGAAGGCGGGAGGGGGAATTGGGATGGGGAACACATGTAAATCCATGGCTGATTCATGTCAATGTATGGCAAAAATAATAAAAATTTTTTAAAAAGATAGCTTGATACATGTAGTGGAATATTCAGGAAAGTGTGAAAAAATTACAGCTTGTATAATGAAAAACTGTGATTGAGAAATATTTTGATTAAAAAGTCATGACTTTATGAGCTACAAAAGAAATAAAAAACACCACTCTTGCATTACAGGCATACCTCAGAGATACTGCAGACCACTGATCCATGGAGATTGTATTAGCAGGCATGAAAACAAATTTAACCTCATTGTATATCTCCATCAGAGCTCTTGGGTGACCAAGAGCAATAATATTTTGAAATGACTTTTTTTCTCAACAGTAAAACTCAACAGCAGGTTTAAAATACTCAGTTACCCCACGTTGTAAACAAATGTGCTGTCATCCAGGTTTTGTTGTTCAGTTTACAGAGCACAAGCCAAGTAGATTTAGAATAATTCTCACGGGTTCTCAGACTGGGGTTGATCATTGGCTTCACGTGAAAGTCACCACTGCATTAGCCTCTAATGAGAGAGGCAGCCTGCCCTTTGAAGCTTTGAAGCCAGACACTGACTTCTCTCAAACTGTGAAAGCCCTAGATGGCATCTTCTTCCAACAAGAGGCTGCAAACTGTTGATTTCTTTCAAGAACTCTTCCTTTGCATTCACAGCTAAGCTGACAGTTTGGGGCAAGAGGCCTAGCTTTCAACCTATCTCAGGTTTTGACTTGCTTTCCTCACTGAGCTTAATCATTTCTAGCTTTTGATTTAAAGTGAGAGATGTGCAACACTTCCTACCACTTTAACACTTACATGTCATTGTAAGGTTATAAATTGGCCTAATTTTAATATTGTTGTATCTCAGGAAATAGGGAGGCCGGAGGAGAGGGAGAGAGAGAGGGAATGGCAGGTAAATGGAGCAGTCAAAACTCCCAATATTTACCAACTAAGCTCACTATCTTATATGGGTACAGTTCATGGTGCCCCAAAATAATTACAATAGTAATATCAAAAATCACTGATCACAGATCACCGCAACAAATATAACAATGAAAAAGTCTGAAATATTGCAAGAGTTACAAAAATGTGACACAGAGGCACAAAGTGAGCAGATGCTAGTGGAAAAAGAATGCTGACAGACCTGCTCAATGCAAGGTTGCCACAGACCTTCGATTTATAAAAAACACAGAATCTGTGAAGTGAAATAAAGTGGAACACAATAAATGAGGTCTGCCTGTTATCGTTTATGTTAAAGAATCCAGATTTCTTAATAGCTTGATGTTGGATTTGGACATAATGAAACCTGAAATATATTCAGAACTTAACAAAATTTAGGTACCCCAAAATTCATAAAAACTGTCAACAAAGGATTTATATAGAATATAAATATATTAGATATTTAGAATAGAATATATTAATATAAAGAACTCTAAATTCTCAGAAAACGACCTGATTAAAAAACTGGGCAAAAGACTTTAACAGAAATTTTACCAGAAAGGATATATGGATGGCAAACAAGCACATAAAAATAGATTTAACATCACCAGCCATTAAGGATATGCAAATTAAATCCACAATGGGATAACACTCCCTATGTATTAATATTAAAATATATAAAATACAAAACAGGGACAACATCAGACCCTGATGAGGATGCAAAGAAACTGGATCACTCATATGTTGCTGGTAGGAAAATAGAACGGTCCAGATACTGTAGAAAATTGTCTGGCAGTTTCTTATAAAACTAAATATGCAAATACCATATGACCCAGCTATTGTATTTTGGAGCACTTATCCCAGAGAAATGAAAAATTATGTTCACACAAAAATCTGTACATGAATGTTCATAGCAACTTTACTTTTGATAGCTAAAAAACTGGAAGTTATCCAGGTATTTGTCAACAAGTGAATGGTTAAACAAACTGTGGTATATACATACCACAGTCTCAGCAATAAAGAGGACCAAACTATTGATACAACAGATTGAACAAATCTCTAGGAAATTATGCCGAGTGAAACAAACCAATCTAAAAAGGTTGTATATGCATGATTCTATTTGCAAAACATTTTAAAAAACAGCTTTATTGGGGTATAATTCATAGATTTATCCATTTAAAGTACACAGCTGAAAGGTTTTTGGTATATTCATAGAGTTGCATAGACATATTGAACCTTTTTTTTTTTTACTTTTTAAATTAAGATATAACCTATACACTGTAAAACTCACCCTTTATAGTATACCATTCAGTTTTTAGTATATTCACAGTTGTGTAACCATCACTGTGATCTAATTCCAAAACATTTTCATTATCCCTTAAAGAAATCCCATACCCATTAGTAGTTACCTCCAACCCAGCCCTTGGAAACCACTAATCTGTTCTCTGTTTCTATGGATTTGCCTATTCTGGACGTTTTATATAAAGGAAATCACAGAATATGCTGTCTCTTGTGACTGGCTTTTTTTCACTTACCATGGTGTTTTCAAGGGTCATCCATGTAAACATCAATTAGTACTTCATTCCTTTTCATGGCTAAATTATATACTACTGTGTGGATATACCACATTTTGCACATTTACTCATCAATGGATATTTGTGTTATGTCTACTTTTTGGTTTTACAGAAAATGCTATAATGAACATTCATGTACAAGTTTTTATGTGAAAATATTTCTAATTCGCTGTGTTTCTACCTAGGAGTGTGACTGTTGAGTCACATGGTAACTCTATCTTTAGCTTTTCAGTATATAACTTTTTTTTCCCAGTATATAGCGTTTTTGAAATGACAGCATTTTGGAAATGGTGAAGAGATTAGTGGTTGCCAGGAGTTGGGATGGGAAGGAAGTGAATGTGCATATCAAATGGCAATGTGAAGGATCTTTGTGCTGTTAAAACTAATTGTTCAGTATTTTGACTGATTATTTAGAACATAATACACACAAACGAGTACAAGTAAAACTGGGGAAACCTGAATAATACTGGTGGATTGTATTGCATCAATGTCAACATTTAGGCTGTTACATTTACAGTTCTGCAAAATTTGGGAGAAAATGTGCAAAGTTTACAATGAATACCTCTGTATTATTTCTTAAAACTGCAAATGAATCTATAATTATCTCAATAAAAAGTTCAACTAAAATTAACAATAACTGGTTCTCATGATTTTTTTCTTTAGCTGCAAAATTTATATTGCCTCCATTCACCCCCTCCAGAACTGGTGCATTTACCAGGTTTCTATTATTTGCCTTGTTACTACACTAAGGGGAAAAAAAATCTGCAAAAAAGTCATATTGCCCTCACAAACAGAAGTTTCCTTGAAAATCAAATTAAAAATACTGGCAAAACACATTAAATTTATCTTAAATTTAAGACAGTAGGCCTTATTATACATATTATCAGTAATTTTTTTTAACAAGTTGTTAGCTCCCTTCGATGAGCCTCACGGCTCTTGGGATCTTAGTTCTGAGACCAGGGATCTAACCCAGGCCTCCTGCAGTGGAAGAGCCAAGTCCTAACCACTGGACCACCAGGGAATTCCCTGTTTAACTTTTATGACTACAGCAGCCTTCCTAGCTGCAAGAGTTTTAGCTCAATATCATATTGCCTAAATTAGACAATCCAATCACCAATTGAATTCTTTAATATTTATCTCATCTGTATCTGGCTTTTCCTAAATATAGTTTTTTGCACCTGTTTCTCCATTATTGGACAGAAACACATGGTAATTATTTTTGTATGTCCCACAAAGAGACAATTATAACAAAAAGACTTAAATGTATGCATGAAGAGAAAAATTGTCTCATCAAGACAATTGTGTTACTATAGGATTAAATAATAGGTTTTTGGGAAAGGGAAAGATGACTCAAGCTGAAGATATTCTATTGTAACTAACAGGCTTCTTTAAAATTTGTTTTTTATTTATTGAAGTTTTTTTTTTTTCCATTTTCTTTTGGCAGCACAGCTTGTAGGATTTTAGTTCCCTGACTGGGGACTGAACTCAGACCCTTGGCAGGAGAGTATGGAGTACTAACCACTGGACAACCAGGGAATCATTTTTTTTTTTTTTTAAAGCTTGGAGTTAAATTGTCACTGATTTTTATTAAATTTAGAAAATGGTAATGTGAGTTATGAAATACTTTTTCAAGTATATAGCCTCTAAAATCAATTCACAATGAGACCTTGTAGAACCTTTTGGATATCTATTTTGACAAACAAAAAATATGTATAGGTACCAAATGCTTTGTGTACATGTAAAAAATTGCTTTTAAGAAGTACTTGGAAATTCTATATGAATAGAATTCATTCTATATGAATAGCTTATAAATTTTCTTTAAATCTGTTTAAAGGTTTTTTATGAATTAGAGATAGACATAAACCCCTGGACACAGTGACCAAGTAAGGACACAGAAAACAGATGACCATCTACAAGCCCAGGAGAGAGGCTTCAGAAGAAACTAACCATCTCATCATGAAAAAAAAAAGTAATTATGTGAGGTGATGGATGGATGTTATTAACCAACCTTATTGTGGTAATCATTTCACAACACATATGTACATCAAATCACCACACTGTACATCTTAAATTTACACAATGTTATGTCAGTTATATGGCAATAAAGCTGGGGAACACATTAAAAAGAAGCAACTAGCCCTGTTGACACCTTATATTGGACTTTCACCTCCAGAATTATGAAAAAGTAAATTTCTGTTATCTAAGCCAGCCAGTCCATGGCACTTTAGTACGGCAGCCCAAGCAAACCAATATAGAAGAAACAGATAGCTATTTATTCAGAAGGCATTATTCAATGTCCCACAATAAAAGCACTCAGAACATTTTACTTAAAGATAACCATAGAAGCAATACAGACTCGCATCCACATTATGTTACCTTTAACAACGACAATGGCCTTGGGATTACAATCTTGATTATCAATCTCTTGCAACAAATATTTTAGGGTACTAGAGTTCAGCTAAAAAATTCCTGCAAGTATCCTTTAGTTCATTGCAGGGTATCAAAGGCAAAGTCAAGGCACTTCTTACAAATGTGGTTTCTTTTTCATCTGTTGATACTACTCAGATGTTTCATCAAGTATTTAATAAGATTAGTAGATATTTGCCATTTGGCACTTTACTGAAAGTGAGAACTAATCCTTTCCATCGAAAAATGCTTAATACATGTAACTATTGTCTTCCCAGGTGGCGCAGTGGTAAAGAATCTGCCTGCCAGTGCAGGAGACATAAAAGACACAGGTTCAATCCCTGGGTTGGGAAGATCCCCTGGAGTAGAAAATGGCACCCCACTCCAGTATTCTTGTCTAGGAAATTCCATGGACAGAGAAGCCTAGTGGTCTACAGCCCCTGGGGTCACAAAGAGTCGGACACAACTGAGCATGCACAGGCAGATTATTATTATGTACATTTTGAGAATGGCAGTTCCTATGTCATTCAGTAGTCACTCAAAAGCAGCAACATGTACCATTTCCAGAGGGATTTCTCTGGCAAAAGATAGATTTGGATCTATATTAGTGCCCCTCAGTGATAAAAGGGTTCAGTATTGAGGGGAAAAAAGCAAACCGAGTTTAGATGATACTTGGAGATTTTTATCAGAATGTTTCTCTCCCTACAGAGGATATAATTTCCTGTGGTGTTTTATTTTCAAGTAATCCATATACCTCAGCTAAAAGATTCTTGTTTTTCACCAACAAACCAGCAAGGTCAGGATGGACTGAGTCAGTTGCCCTTTTGTTGCACTTGACTGGGTTCCTGGTGGGAACCACTTCAAGAGATGGGTTAAGACAAGCCTACAAAAAGAAATTTCAAATTAATTAGCTAAACATGTACCCTATAATAAAAACTGCACTGTTTTAACCCACAAACTCAAATAAGTAACTCTAAAATACAACTTTAAAATATTCATTTTGAAAAAATAAAATAAAATATTTATTTTGAGGTAGTATCCTAACAAATGAAATAGGTCTCAAAAAGTAGAAAGTAACATGTTAACCTAAAAGTCTACTTTCCATTTCTCTAAAAATTCTTACCCAGCAATTTATAATACCACCTGTAAGTAAATGCAGCACATCTAATAAATATAATTTCTGAGAGCATAGGAAAGAAAGCACACATAAAATGTCAGAAAATCTTAATTCACACCTAATAAAGCCTTTACAGAAACTTAAACCATTATAAGGTCACTGGTGAAAGATTTACCAGTATTTGTTTTATTTTTATTACAAGTAATTTCCTATGCTTATATCTTATACAAACTTATTTTTTTTTTAAATCTGATTTCAGTAAATCAACATCAATTTTGTGTTTCTTTCACACTTTACTGAGAGTAAAAATTAGGGAGATTTATCTGTATTACAATATCTCCTCCTCTTACCAAAAGAGAATATATAATGTTCTAAATTTAATTAGCATAACTGGTTAAGAGCAAAGTTTATATGATTCAAATGAAACCAAGAAAAATATATTAATCTAAATCTCTAAAAAGTGTATAAATGTATCACATGGTACTTATTGTATTAAAAAAACAAAATGCATTTTTCTAAAGTTATCAGGTTTTAAAATTTTATTCTTACCAAGATACTAGGAATACAAATCTGCAAGAGAATACAAAATGACTATACTTGAATGTTTAAAAAAAATAAAGAGAACTTTTGAAAATATGACTAAGTCACAAGAGACCACAAAGAATTAACATTGGAAAACATTTTGGAAAAACAACTTTTTGAAATAAAAAGTATAATAACTTTAATTTGAAAACTAAATGAACACATTAAAAAGCAAATTAGACATAGCTGAGGAATGAATGAATTCAAATATGAAGGAAATTTTTGAGCATACAGGAACAAATAAATGATGAAAGAGAGTTTAAGGCAGAGAGATTAAAATGAAAAGGTCTATCATATGTCTGTTTGGAGGCCAAGAAGGCTATATTCTATAGAATGATGAAGAGGCAATATTTAAAGAAATAATGCCTTGATAATTTTACAGAATTGTTGAAAGATACTAATCTAAGTGGTTCAGCAAGTCCCAAGAAAAGTAAATTTAAAAAATTTCTTTACCAACACACTAATAATGAAACTACAGAACATCAAAGAAAGAGCTCTAAAAAGCAGATAATAGAAAGGACATAATTACAAAGAAATAGCAATTAGGTGAGCAACTTCTCAATAGTAACAGAAGCTGAGAAACAGCAAAATGACATCTGTAATGTACTAAGAAAAACATATCATCTTTCACTGAGTGTAAGAGGCACAAATTTTCACATCTCTGCATCTGGGCTGCATCTCAGAATTGCTGCTGATTCATGTATGGCTTGGTTAGCCAAAAGCACACTTTCAAATTTCAAAATAGTGGCTAAGACAGGACTACTTGTTCAAATCAAAGATATAAAGTAAGTGCCAACCAGAATTTCTACTTAAATTATGTTCCAAGATTAAGAGTAAAATAAACACATTTTAGACAAACAAAAATTGAATTTACCACCAACAGGCCCTTACTTAAGACAATTCTAAAGAGAGAAAATGAACTCACAAAGTCTGAGATACAAGAAAGAAAAGTGAATAAAAAATAACAGTAAATATTATGTGGACACAATTACATAAACATTAATTTTAAAATCGTGGCTTATGGAGTTGAAAATAAAGAATTAGAACCAGTGCAGGACAAAATAAAAGCATATAGACTGAGAAGAGAAAAACAGTTTAAAGCATTATAAAATATTCAGATTTCTCAAGAGTAACTGTAAAAATTTCAGTTAACTTTGCTAAGTATATATTTTAAAATAACTAAAATACTATTAAAACAAGTCATACAACATATAACTCCTAAACTTGTAGAAGAAAAAAAAATAGAATGAGAAAAAAAGAAATAAATGCAATACAACAAAACAAAAACTATCAGTTTTGGATACAATAGGAGAGAAAAGGAAACAAAAATAATAGGACAAATAGATTATACATACTATAATAGAAACACACCCACATAATCAATAATATCAATAAATGTAAATGGACTAAACTTTCCAGTTAAAAGCAAAGATTATCAATGTTACCTGAAAAAGCAAAAACTGAAAACAAACCACATTTCAAGTAAGAGTTTAATGGATAATTTATGGTATATTGGTATAATATATATATATGGTATACAATAGAATCATTATTGAATAACTGCACACAGAATGACACAAATCTCATGAAGTGAAAGAAGTAACAAAAAGACAAAAACAGTATAATTACATTAAATAAACTTTTAAACATAAAATTAATATTTATTAGGGATTCTTACATAAGTGCCAGAACTAGGAAGAAAAGCAAGAGAATGATTGATATAAAACTCAAAATAAAAAAATAAATAAATAAAAAAAACTCAAAATACCCACTATTTTTAAGTGTAGGTAGGAATAAAGGGATTCAGTTAGTAAGGGGCAAAGAGGAAGCTTCTAAGGTACTGGAGTGCTTTAAGATATTGGGTGGTGGGTTTATAGATATTTGTTCTATTACCTAACCTGTGCATATACATTTTATAGTTCTTTTCTATGTATGACACATTTTTAAAAATCCATTCGGAAAACAAAACTACATATTTTTAAAAGATGCATATATATCCAAAGACATACATCAAATATATTAGATGAGGCAGAAATGGAGATGGAGAAAAAGTAAAGCGAGAGTAGCCCTGTACAGAAAGATGATATTGTACCACAAACTAAGCATGATTAACTTGACAACGTACCTGAGATAGAAAACAAAACAGCAAACTGATTAAAATGTGCTAAATTCTTATTTAATACATCACAATATTGCTAAGATTTCAAACACCAATAATAAAAAAAAAACAGTAACCATTATGTTCAATTAGGCTTTTATTTATAAAAATAAGAAACATTCAACCTGCAATTAATTTTTATAGACAAGTTCTTTCAAATTCTTTCATTTCATAGTTTAGAGGAAATGAACAAGGAGGCATGCTGTATATGAAGCTGTATATGAAGCTCACTGAAGCTTCCTTATACAATAAAAAACTAAACTGCATAAAAATTGATATATTAACATAATTTGTAATGGAATTCTATGCAGGAATTATCATGCACAGACTAAATTTATATGAATAAAAAAAACTACTCTCAAAAACATAACCTCTTTTCAGGGCAGGAATAGAGACACAGACATAGAAAACAGATACATGAACATTGGCAGGACAGGGGATGAATTGAGAGATTGGGACTGACATGTGTGCATAGCCATGTATAAAGTAGATAGTTAGTGGGAACCTACTGTATAGCACAGTGAGCTAAGCTTGGGTGCTCTGTGTGGTGACTCAGATGAATGGAATGGCGGGAGCAGACGGTACAAGGAAGGTCCAAGAGGGAGTGGATATATGCATACATATAGCTGATTCACTTCATTATACAAAGAAACTAACAGCATCATAAAGCAGCTATACTCCATTTAAAAAAAAAAAAGGTCCATTAAATAAAACAAAAAAAGACCACCAAAAAACAAACAGAAAATACTCACATAAGGCTAAGAGCTGAAGAATTGATGCTTTTGAACTGCGGTGTTGCAGAAGACTCTTGAGAGTCCCTTGGACTGCAAGGAGATCCAACCAGTCAATCCTAAAGGAAATCAACCCTGAATATCCATTGGAAGGACTGATGTAAGGTGAAGCTCCAACACTTCAGTCACCTGATGCAAAGAGCTGACTCACTGGAAAAGACCCTAATGCTAGGAAAGATTGAAGGCAGGAGGACAAAAGGATGACAGAGGATGAGATGGTTGGATGGCATCACTGACTCAATGGACATGAGTTTGAGCAAGCTCTGGGAGATAATGAAGGACAGGGAAGCCTAGCGTGCTACAGTCCAAGGGGTTGCAAAGAGTTGGACACGACTGAGCAACTGAACAACAAAAAGACTGAGTGCAAATAGCAAGGTAGAAAGTTAGGTTTAGTAGCATATCATTAAAGTAATTTTTTAAATGGCCAAAACAATATAAGAAGCATTCACATATATCTAAAAATTTTTCCAGTGGTCATGTATAGATGTGAGAGTTGGACTGTGAAGAAAGCTGAGCACCGAAGAATTGATACTTTTGAACTGTCGTGTTGGAGAAGACTCTTGAGAGTCCCTTGAACTGCAAGGAGATCCAACCAGTCCATCCTAAATGAGATCAGTCCTGGGTGTTCATTGGGAGGACTGATGCTGAAACTGAAACTCCAATACTTTGGCCACCTCATGCAAAGAGTTGACTCATTGGAAAAGACCCTGATGCTGGGAGGGATTGGGGGCAGGAGGAGAAGGGGACAACAGAGGATGAGATGGCTGGATGGCATCACTGACTAAATGGACATGAGTTTGGGTAAACTCCAGGAGTTGGTGATGGACAGGGAGGCCTGGCTTGCTGCGATTCATGGGGTCGCAAAGAGTCAGACACAACTGAGTGACTGAATTGAACTGAAACATTAAAAACATGGACACAAAGACTATATACTTACTTCAGAAATTATCTCTGAAAAGAAAAAAAAAGGTCCAGGATGGTCCAGCAGTACTTTCACATAGACTTGTAATAGTAGCTACCCTAATGCCCTCATCTCTCACCACCCCAGACCCTGAATCCACTCACTTCCCTTACCAAGATGATTAATGCCAGAGGCCCCAGGACCTGCCCTAGAGCTAAGAGTGGCAAAGACTCTTACTGGCTGATGTCTGATTGTACTGTTAAATTTATTTATATTACCCACCCCAAGAGGGGCTTCCCATGTGGCGCTAGAGTAGAACGTGCTTGCCAATGCACAAGACGTAAGAGATGCAGGTTCGATCCCTGGGTTGGGAAGATCCCTTGGAGAAGGGCATGGCAACCCACTCCAGTATTCTTGCCTGGAGAATCCCATGGACAGAGGAGCCTGGCATGCTACAGTACATAGGGTGGCAAAGAATTGGACACAACTGAAGTGACTCAGCATGCACACATGCATGCAACCCAAGACTGGAGAAGGATGAGAGGTTACAAAATGGTCTTCAATTTTATCAGTGAAGTTTTATTTTCTTAAAAGAACAACTAAAGCAAATTTGGAGGGAAATGTCAAATTTAAGTACGCAATGTAGGTAGCTGGTGTATTAGTCTCTATACTTTTCCGTAGGGCTTCCCAAGTGGCACTTGTTTCCCACGTAGCTCAGCGGGTAAGGAACCTGCCCGCAATGCGGGAGACCTGACTTCGATCCCTGGGTTGGGAAGATCCCCTGGAGAAGGAAAAGGCTACCCACTCCAGTATTCTCGCCTGGAGAACTCCATGAACTGTATAGTCCCTGGGGTCGCAGTTGGACATTGCTGAGCGACTTTCACTTCACTTCACTCCCAGGTGGCGCTAGTGATAAAGAATCTGCCTTCACCTGTCAATGAAGGAGATGTAATAGATGGGTTTGATACCTGGGTTGGGAAGAGCCCCTGGAGTAGGAAATGGCTTGCTACTACAGTATCTATGCTGGGAGAATCCCATGGACAGAAGAGCATGGCGGGCTACAGTTCATGGGATGGCAAAGAGTCATACACAACTGAGCAACTAACACACACACACAGTCCCAAAGAAAACATACTATTTTTTTGTTTTGAAAACATGCTATTTTTAAACTTGTTACAAACTCAAGCATTTTGTTTTATAATTGATTTAAAATAAAGTTCATAGTTAAATGAGGACATGCTAATAAGACAATTTTATTAATATAAACTTCATAATGTACCAATATTTAAATATATATTTTATGGTGTTAAAATTTGTTAAAAATGGTAAAACAATTTTTTATATTCCTAGAGGGTTTTATGAGCATTTATGCACTTGGAAAGGAGTTAGAGATTGTAGAACAATGTCCTTCTTCATTGTACCCGTTACTTTTTTTCCCCATCTTCATAGAGGTATAGTTGAAAATTAAAACAATGTTTTGATATTTGTATACATTGTGAAATAATCTTTACAATCAAGCTAATTAACATATCCATCACCTCACACAGTTATCATTTTTTCTTTTTTTTTTTTTGTGATGAGAACATTTAAGATCTAAACTCTTAGCAGTTCCAAGTATACAATTCAGTACTGTTAACTATAGTCACATTGCTGAACATTAGATCTCCAGAACTTATTCATCTTGCATAACTAATGTACCCTTTGACCAACATCTCCTCATTTCCCTCTTCCCACCACCTCAGGAAATCACCATTCCACTCTCTGCTTCTATAAGTTTGTTTTAGATTTTACATATAAGTGAGATCATGTAGTATTAGTCTTTGTTCGACTTATTTCACTAAGTATAATGTCCTGCAGGTTCATCTATGTTGTTGAAGATGGCAGGATTTCCTTTTTTTTAAAAGGCTGAAGAATATTCTTTTTAAAGAATCCATATACCACATTTTCTTTATCCATTCATCTGTTGACTTATTTACTTTTAATGTAATACATTTCCTTTCCTAGGGAAGAAACTAGGCTAATTATTCTCATTTAAAGACAATAGTGGATGGAAATAAACCAATCCCCTAAGCCCCCACCCTTACTCCACAGCTCAGACTTCATCTCCAAGGAGTTGCAAGCTAAAGAATAGATGGATCTGTCTAATGGTCTTAAAAATATCATCTGACCCAAGAGGGTATTTAATTTCCAGAAACAGTCTCATCGTGGTCCAGCTCTAATAAAACAAGACTGTATATCAAGGGGGTAATATGGGACAACAGAAAGGTAATGAGTCAGACTACTCAGTTCTGCCCTTAAATCACTGTGGCCTCTTTCCAGTGTTCAGTTTGCTAATCTGCAAAATGATAGGGTTGGATCAAATTAACTCAGAGGCCCTTTATAGTCTATTTTGTATATTGTTTTGGGATTGTGGGCCTTGGTGAAATATCAGAATCACCAAAAAGGCAAAAATAAGGTAAAATTCACTTTGAGGTTCCATTAGATTCAGAAGTTTCAATGCTGCTTGTTCTAGAGTTAAGTCAGGAACCAGAAGTGAGATCTTTGACTCATGTCTTGCATCATGCATTGGAAAGGTGCTCCACAGGCAAGGGGGCAAACAACCGAATTTTCCTTTCTGCTAGCTCTCGCTTATGCAAGAGGCTGTTTTACCTCTTCCTCCTGAGGATGGAAAAAATTAAATAAATGCCAGAGTACAACTCACCCCTGAGCTATTTTTCCGAAATGTGTAAGCTGATAAATGTTTGACTTCCAATGGCTTAGCCTTGCGGGGCCCTTTGCTTTGGGCGATAACCAGCTTCCCTGGATTTGAGTGGTTTAAAAACTGGACAGGGCTTGACATGCTGGAGATAAAAGAAGCATGAACCAGATCTACTAATGGTGAACCAAGGTGCTTCCAAGAAGAGTTTTCATAGAGTGGTCAGGAAAAGATGCTGAGGTCTGGCCAGCGTCCACAACAATGTCTCTGCAAAGGTGCCACGTCAGATCCTTACAGTTTAGCCAGAAAACAGAAGAAGCTGCCCACTGAACCTGTAGCTTAGAGATAAGACAGATCTAGTTTCTAACGGCAGTATCAAAACAGTGCTTAAATTATAACTGGTTGAAAATAACCTGCTGATATACACATATGCAATTATAATATCATATTTAAATGCTACTTGTGAATCATATCTTTAGATAACTGACTTGCAAATTTCCTTCATTTTCAATTTCTGAATCTGTAGGAAATATAACTATATCCCTCAAGATTCAGTCAAAAGCTAGCATCTAAAATGAGTTAATGTAACATGTGATAGCTCATAGTGCTTTCTGTCCCAGAGGAACATAAAATGTAATCTCACATTATGAATTTTATAAATTCAATTTCCTAAGAACTCAATACTGCCTTAAATCCATTTTCCCTACCCAGTTCAATTCATGTATTCTTTCTTTTCAATAGGAGAAATAGAAGAACGACATCTTCCAAATTATTATCCATATATTTTATTAAGCAATAAGATGGAGATTTCTTTTTTAAGATCAGAGAATGAACTCTAGTGGGGGAAATGTGGCATTTAGAAACTGTGTACTGGAAGGGCTGCATGCAAATAGGGTACCAGTTTCCTTTGCTGGTGGTATCTCCCAGAAAATGGAACAGTTCCAGAATGAGAGGAATGTTTATAAGAGGACAAAAAAAATCAGGATGGTGTGAGCTGAAGAACATTGAGCTGAAAGTATAAAGCCCTGGTTTTCTTTACTAACCCTGGAAATCTATTTTGAAACTCCTCTATTAATTTATTCTAGATTTATTAATACTGAAGACAATTATTAAAGAACAAATATCTCTAATGAAACTTTAGTCTCTTCCTCATTTTAATTATTTGATACTTAAAATCATTACTATATCAATTCCTTTTCTAAGAACCAAAGAATAGACTTAAAGAATGCCTTCCTCAGTGATCAGTGCAAAGAAACAGAGGCAAACAATAGAATTGGAAAGTCTAGAGATTTCTTCAAGAAAATTAGAGATACCAAGGGAACATTTCATGCAAAGATGGGCACAATAAAGGACAGAAATGGTATAGACCTAACAGAAGCAGAAGATATTAAGAACAGGTGGCAAGAATACACAGAACTATACAAAAAAGACCTTCAAGACCCAGATAATCATGATGGTGTGATCATCAACCTACAGCCAGACATCCTGGCATGCGAAGTCAAGTGGGCCTTAGGAAGCATCACTACGAACAAAGCTAATGGAGGTGATGGAATTCCAGTTGAACTATTTCAAATTCTAAAAGATGATGCTGTGAAAGTGCTGCACTCAACATGCCAGCAAATTTGGAAAACTCAGCAGTGACCACAGAACTGGAAAAAGTCAGTTTTCATTCCAATCCCAAAGAAAGGCAATGCCAAAGGATGCTCAAACTACCACACAATTGCACTCATCTCACATACTAGCAAAGTAATGTTCAAAATTCTCCAAGCCAGGCTTCAACAATATGTGAACCATGAACTTCCAGATGTTCAAGATGGATTTAGAAAAGGCAGAGGAACCAGAGATCAAATTGCCAACATCTGTTGGATCATCAAAAAGCAAGAGTTCCAGAAAAACATCTACTTCTGCTTTATCGACTATGTCAAAGCCTTTGACTGTGTGGACCACAACAAACTCTGGAAAATTCTTCTATGGGACTACCAGACCACCTGACTTGCCTCTTGAGAAATCTGTATGCAGGTCAAGAAGCAACAGTTAGAACTGGACATGGAACAACAGACTGGTTCCAAATCGGGAAAGGAGTACGTCAAGGCTGTATATTGTCATGCTGCTTATTTAACTTATATGCGGAATACATCATGAGAAACGCTGGGCTGGAGGAAGCACAAGCTCGAATCAAGATTGCCGGGAGAAATATCAGTAACCTCAGATATGCAGATTGTTGGGGTCCTTTAATGAACTGGAACCTGGTGGTCCAGCGTCGATGATAAGAAAGTGAAAGAGAAAGAAGCTAATATTCCCTGGGTTACGCAGAGAACCAATAAAGCCCTAGGAGAGGGCTTGTACCCACGGAGGCACAGGGCACCCTCTCGAAAAGGTCTTGAAAGCTTGGGCAGGAGAGTGAGCTCGGCAGGTTTCAAACTCCAGAGAATTAGCCAGAGGGAGAGAGAGAAAGAAAGACATGGGGACCCAAGTCTGTGGTGGAGCAAGGGTGTTTTAATGATCTTTCTGTGAGTATATATAGGCTGTTGTACAAGGAATTTCTTTCAACAATGATAAAGATCAGAAAACCAAAAGTACAGCAACCGTTATCAAGGGAACAAGGAATTAACAATGGTCATAAGGTCAGAAGACAATCCATATCTCAAGAAAGAGGGTCGTGACTAAGCAGTTTTGTTGTAAGGAGAATGTTTACTGAAGGAAATCCATGCATGTGTCTCATCCTATGACCTCAGTCCTGGGAGCAGCAGCGTGCAGTTCCACTTGTTCCTGTTACCAGGAACTGATAAGGAACAGAGGATTTATGAGAGATAGAAAACGGCACACAGGAATCCTCTTGTTAAACGTTCTCTGACAGCAGATGACACCACCCTTATGGCAGAAAGTGAAGAAGAACTAAGGAGCCTCTTGATGAAAGTGAAAGAGGAGAGTGAAAAAGTTGGCTTAAAGCTCAGCATTCAGAAAACCCAGATCGTGGCATCCAGTCCCATCATTTCATGGCAAATACCTGGGGAAACAGTGACAGACTTTATTTTTGGGGGCTCCAAAATCATTGCAGATGGTGACTGCAGCCATGAAATTAAAAGATGCTTGCTCCTTGGAAGGAAAATTATGACCAACCTAGACAGCATATTGAAAAGCAGAGACATTCCTTTGCCAACAAAGGTCCATTTAGTCAAAGCTATCGTTTTTCCAGTAGTCATGTATGGATGTGAGAGTTGGACTATAAAGAAAGCTGAGCATCAAAGAATTGATGCTTTTGAACTGTGGTGTTGGAGAAGACTCTTGAGAGTCTCTTGGACTGCAAGGAGATCCAACCAGTCCATCCTAAAGGAATTGAGTCCTGAATATTCATTGGAAGGACTGATGTTGAAGCTGAAACTCCAATACTTTGGCCACCTGATGCAAAGAACTGACTCACTGGAAAAGACCCTGATGCTGGGAAAGATTGAAGGTGGGAGGAGAAGGAGACGACAGAGGATGAGATGGCTGGATGGTATCAGTGACTCAATGGACGTGAGTTTGAGTAAACGCTAAGAGTTGCGATGGACAGGGAGGCCTGGCGTGCTGCAGTCCATGGTGTTGCAAAGAGTCAGACACGACTGAGTGACTGAACTGAACTGAACTGACTTAAGTTTTGGTGAACTGAAAAGGAAGAATAAACTGCTCCTCAGTCCTGGAACAAGGATCATACTGGAGACAAAGGTCTTCTTAAGAATCTATCCTCTGCTTTTATTTTTATTTACCATTTTATGAATTTTATGCTCTATTAAAAACAACTTATGTGTTTCATTTATATTGCTTCCTACTATGTGAGCCAAAATATATTCCCAGAAGCATGAACTGATCTTATAGTATCTCAAGTACCATCTCCTTCCTTGATTCATGCAAGGTGAGGATAATCTCTCTTCTTAATTCTTAAGAGTATATGATCTATATGTTTCCTTTGATTGTTATCTCATTCAATATTGTATGAGGTAAAAATCTGATCTCTCCTACTATATTAAAGGTACGTTAAGAGCAGAATCTATTTCTGATTTATCTCTATCATTCCATACTAGGCCCCCCAAAATACAGATTGAACAACTAAAGAACCCAACAGGAAAAAAAGCCCAACAAAACACCACTCTTAAATACAAAGTTAACTCATATAAGTGATAATACTGTTCTTCCAAATTTACCTTACAAAAATATAATAAAAATACAATAGAAGTCTGAAGTGAAAAATAAAATACAGCCATATGACACAATTATTCTATGATTTTTAGGTCTGTACATAACTACTGAATTCTTTAACAATATTCATAAGATTTATCAATATTCACATTAGAAAAATACAGTAGGCTATGCTTCATTTAGTGGAAAGTAAAAACCATAAATGTTTACCATATCAGGCACAAGAGAAAATTCCAATTCCAAGTTCAATTCCCAGAAGAAATCTGAATTGTTCAATATGAGGGGCTGCCCTGAACTATTTGCCAAAAGAATGTTTGTACATCAAAGGAGCTGTTGCTAGGTCAACGCATCACAGAGGTCAAGGGAATAGTAAAGGGACCTCCTAAAGTGATAAAGTAAGGCCTCTGAGGCTTTATTTCCCTAATTAATGAAGTGAAAAACATAAAGTGGCTTCATCAAGCATGAGAGAACTTAACAAACTCTTAGGAAAGTGATTCCACCAAAAGTAAACATTCCAGCAAAGGGGAAATTCATATTTTGGGTCTTTATTTTGTGAAATTCTTGGAATAGGTCAAACACCTATACCTCATCAAGAAAGAAGTACTTTGAAAGGAGGAGAAAAATGATGATTCCATCTACTATGGAATGTAGTAAAAGCAAAATATGATTTGTTTGAAAAACTGGTATTCTAAGAAAGCATATCCCTATTATGTATTCTTGATACTAGAATCACTACAGTTATACTTCAAATGTCATCTAATCTAGTGGTTCTCAGTCCTGTCCACCCATTAAAATCTCAAAGACAACTTCAAAAAATACTGATACTCTGACACTACCCCAAGTTCTGACTTAATTGGTTTACAGTGATTTATGCTTAATATTTATCTAAGCATAAATATTTTTAAAAATCTACACAGGTAATCCTAGTGTGAATAAAAATGAGGTGATGGACAGGGAGGCCTGGGGTGCTGCGGTTCATGGGGTCGCAAAGAGTTGGACATGACTGAGCCACTGGACTGAACTGAACTGAGGGCTAAAATAAGTAGTATTAATAAGTATGAGAGTAATAGTTAATAACTAAACCAGGAAAATTAGAAATATCCTTTTTTTCCTCTAAAACTAGATTTTAAAAATTACATCATGAAGCAGCAGAAACAACCATGAACAAGACAGGAAATTTCTAATAAAGCTGAAATTCTCGTGGAAAAAGAAAAGATAGCAAACAACTAAATAAATAAACGAAATCATTTTAGATAGTGATAAATGCTGTGAATAAAATAGGCTATCATGATAGTAACAAGTAGCTAAGTGAAGGGTCATTTTTGATAACGTAATCAAAGACAGTCTGCTTTGAATATATTAATATAAATCATATTACACATTTTACTGGATAACCTGCCTTGATGATTTAATAATTTGTGAAAGCTATCTTACACAGCATCTATAGATGTATATATATTGTTTAACCACTTCATCCATCCTGATGAGATTTGCTTTTTGCTATTGAAATTGATGCTGTGAGGAACACTCTTACACATATATCTTTGTGTATACATGTGCTTATTACTCTAGGATAAATTTCTAGAAGTGGACTTACAAGATCAAAGAAAGCCAACATTAAAGTTTTGATAGATATTCTCAAATAACCCTTAGTATTTTTGTAAAAATGGAACTTCTGCAGAAAGGACACACATTTTTTCAAGCAACTGCCATTAACAGCATTTGAATAAAAATATTGTATCTTTTTATTCTCTGTGAAATGTTCCATTCTGTCTTTATCTCATTTGACCAACCTGCAATATATTTGGAAGAATTAGTTACCTCTTTTCCTGTGAAACACTTTCTTGTCTTCTAAGGCTGCATGCTCTCAAAGTTTTTCTCATAACACGCTGGACTCTTTTCAGTATTCCTTTCTGGTTTCTCCTCATATCTCCTTGAATTCTAAACACTGAAGTGTCCTAGGTATCAGTCCTCAGTCATCTCTCTACCTACACTCATTCATGTCTTGGGCACACTTCCAATTTCATGGATTTAAATATCGCAGATCTCATTTAGATAAATATCAGACATTTAAGATGCATCTAAAAACTTATTTTAGCTCAGTAATGGAACTTCACCTTTTCAGTTGCTCAAACCAAATCCTTGGTTTTTTCTCTTATACCCTAACTTCCTCTCTTCACTCAGGTTTCCGCACCTCAGGTTCCCCAGAGGGAATTTCCTCTTAACACATTTCTAAAACAGCACTCTCCTGCCTCCCACCACCATTCCCTATCCTCTTAGCTTGCCTATTCGTAAAACATGGTATGTCTCAATACCTAAAATTAGAGTACATATTTCTTTAACTGACCATTGACTCCCAGAATATTAGCTGGGAAGTGGGGATGGCGGGGGGGGGGGGGGTGGGGGGTGGGTATTAATTGGTTCACCGTGGTATCCCTAGCACCTAGAGCAGTGTCTCTTCGTTGTTGACACAGTAGCCACTCAATAACTATTTGCTCGGTGAATGAATTGTACAGGTCACACAGAGATATCATAGTTGAAAACCAGGCTGTTAAAGTGGCAAAGGCAACATATTTTAAACAATCAGGTTTGGTCCCTATTCCAGCAACAGCTATGCAGTTTTGAAAAAGTTATCCTTCAAAGTCTATTCCTCAATCTGCAATTCGGGGTTTATGTCATCTTTCTCAGCAAACCAGACAGTTGCAGTCAATATCTATTTGGCATTATAAACACAAAACTTTCAATACCCGTAATTTACAGGGAACATATTTTTCTCTTAATCTCTGTTGTTCACATGGAACATAAGGTAACGGTACGCCTTCAGAGGTCCTTACATTTTTTAGGTTATTATATAGTTGGCCCTCTAGTATCTTTGGGTTCCACTTGCTCAGTCAGTCAATCCTGGTCAAAAATTTTAAAAGTTCCATAAAGTTCCCAAAAGCAAAATCTGAATTTGCAGCATACCAGCACCTATTTATATAGCATTTACACGGTATCAGTAATCTACAGATGATGTAATTTGGTCAGGAGTATATGCTTAGGTTTACATAAACATTACGCTGTTTTTTTATAACGGACTTCAGCATTTGCGGACTTTAGTATCTGCGGGACAATTCTGGAACCAATCAGAAATTTGCAGGACTCGTCCTTATAAACATCCCAGTTGCCTTCCAAGAGGGAGGAGTGTCCGCCCTTGAGGTCACAAGGCCATCCAGTTTTGCAAGGCCCATGTCCGTTCTCCAACCCCAGATCTGTTTGGGGGCATCTGATAAAACCTAGACTTGTAAAGCTGACCACCCTCCCTGCAATGGCTGTCTTGGGGGGTTACCCGGACCCTGAGGGAGCCAACACGGCGCTCCAGCTACGCAGGTCTGAAACCGCGGGCTAGGCTTCAACCGTGGCCAAGCATCAGATTCGCCTGAGAAGACTTGAAAAGCAGTCAGGGGCGCCACCCAGACACTCCGATTCAGTATCAGGGTGGGGACCGCGACCCCAGTCTGATGACGCCGGGGTGGGGGTGGGGGGGAAATGCCGGGGGGTGCGAGAACGCCGGACGCCGCCCCACACTCCGCAGGTCTACCCGCTGCGGGCCAGACCGGCGCCTCCAAGCTCCCTACGCGGGAACCGGGTCAGAACCCTCCAGCAGAGGTTCCACGCCCTCAGCCGGCGCTTCCCTCCCGCGCCCGCCAAACTGGTCTCCCGCTAGCCAGGGCCTCGACTCCGCCCCCTGCCCCGCCACCTAAGGTCTGGATTCTAGGCTGATTCCCAATTCAGCTGGATCCCCGCCCACACGATGGCGCATTCTTGGAAAAAAAAAAAAAAACCTTCCAGCAGCCAATCATGTCCTCCATCCAGTCTACACAGCGTTCCCTCATATTCCCGCGGCACTTTAGACCCGCTACTCCTCAGCTCTAAGCTGCCTAAGGGGCCTCTGTCCGTCTGGACTGCGCACGCGCGTCCTCATCCGTTGTGGGGGGGGGGGGGTGGAGAGGCGCAGGCGCAGTAGAAGGGTCGGCCTGGGCGGTCGCTTAGCACGTGTGTTGGGCTGTCCCGCGCAGCAGTGGAGAGAGTCGAACCTCGATTTTGTTGGTGTCCAATTGTGGGCGGCGGACTTTTAAAGGTCATGGCGCCGGCAGAAATCCTGAACGGGAAGGTGGTCTCCGCGTAAGCACCTGTCATTGTTGTTAGGGCGTGTTGGGTTGCAGGCGAGGACTGTGAGCAGGGTGTGCAAGTTCACAGGACTTTTTTTTTTTTTTTTTTTTGCGGGAGGGAGACTTGTAGCGCAAGAGTCAGGCCAACGGAGTGGGTAGCGAGGACGTTGTCTTGAACCTCTCAAACCTGAAGCCTGGGTCTCTGCAACGAAAAGAAGGCGCCCCGGACATGATCTGCGTTTGTAGATTGGGTACCTGGTGGCCGTGCCTGCTGGCTCCTGTGCTTCTGGGACAAATTCTCTTCCTCAGCCCGGAATTATTCTCCCAGAAGTGCAGCTGCCAGAGGAGTAGTTTGGTTTGCCTACAGCATCCCACTCAGAAATCCAGTTACTTCCCTTCCCGCGTAATTTGGAAGGGAGGAGACTGAGATTAATGAGGTAGCAAGACTGTACAAGTTTACCAGGGTGATTAATGTCAGAGGGTCTCCATCCAAGATCATAGCTTTTTCCTACTACACCAGAGTCATCATTTGCTAAGTGAAATCTAATAAAACATTTCTCTTCCCCTCGATTTCATGCTCCTCTAACAGCTATCTCCTGTGTCCTGACCTTATAGTTACTTTCTTCTTTGGCTCTTGAGTCCTGACGATATTTTACATTCCTTTTGACCTCTGCCATTTCTACTCTATGGGGAAATCTGGATGCTTAACTAGTGGATATGACTGCCAGCCTTAATTCCCTAGGAGTAACACCTGGTAGCTTTGTGTTTTGAGAGTTGACCGGAGTGGAGTGAGGGGGAGAGATGAAAGTAGAAGAGGGAAGGATACATTTTGTGTGATCCACCTGCAGGTTTTTCTTGGGACCTTGAACTTCACCAGTTATTTAGCAACAGCTGCAGCTGGCAGCAATAATTGCCCCATGAAGCCCTAATTTTGTGTGTACAGGTTTTTGAGCTAATTATACAGTCACTGATGGTGAAACCCACCTTTGGCCATAATGATTGTTTCCTGGAAGGTAGAGGTGAACAAAGAAGGTGAGATGTAATTTAGATGATGGTGAGTCTTTCACAGTGGTGAGGAGGAATCCCGAACTTCTGGATTAGATATCACAATATTTAACATTTGAGCTCTTTTCTGCATTGCTTCTAAATTGCATTGCTGTGCTTGATCTTTTTTGTTTGGTTGCTTATATTCAAACCCACTCCCTTAATCAGAGGCTTTTCTTGATAAAATCTTCATTTTAGAGAGACTGAAGAGAGAATTTAGGCAGGATACTGAGAATAGGTGCTCACTGGGTATGTTTTGGTTTGAGTAGAGAGCAAATTAAATATGTTTGTAAGCTCCATAAGGGCAGATATGTGCATCATCTTATTTCTGTCTATATCCAAAACACCTGGAAACCTTCTTTCACTCCTTACTAGTTTTTTAGCATTAAGCGAATTGGCTAACCTTTCTGTGCCAAAATTTTCTCAAATGTAAAATAAAGGTAATATCTAGGCTGTTGAATAATTAAGAGAATTGAATGAGTTTCTAACTGAGGAGAATTTAGAACTGTTCCTGGTACAGAGTAAGAGTTCAATACATGTTAGCTGTTAACAATTGGTAATTGTTAATGTATAGAGAAGTGATTGATTCATTATCTTTTTGACAGTGGTAGTTGCCTTGAGACCTATTTCAGTGGTTCTCAACATAAACTGCACGTTAAAATCACTTGGGGAGCTTTTTGTTTTTGTTATTTTTATTTACATATGAACATGTACAAAAAAGTGCACCTGTCATAGGTATATAGCTCAATGAGTTTTTCACTGCTAAATTTCAGTAGCACTCAGCGAGAAATGTAATTGTTGGCACTCCAGAAATTCCTCTCTCACTCCCATCCCATCATCACCCTCCAACAAAGGTAATTGCTGTCTGACTTCCAACACTGCAGGTTAGTGTTGCTTGTTTTTGATCTTTATATAAACGACATCATGTAGTCTAAAGTCTTCTGGTTTCTTTCAGTCAACCTTGTATTTCTGAAATTATTTCATGTTACTTGTAGCTGTAGTTCATTAACTCTCAAAGCTGTTTTGTATTCTATGTAAATATGCCACTAGTTACTTATTTGCACACATTTTGGTTTCTCGTTTTGGTTGATTATGAATACTGAATATGAGCATTCTTTTACATGTCTTTTGGTGGAACATATATACATTTCTGTTGGTTAGATCCCTAAGAGTAGAATTGCGGAGTAATAGGACACATATATGAACAGTTTTAGTAGAAATTGTCAATCTTTTCCAAGATAGTTTTATGCACATGCAGGTATGTGAGCGGGTTCAATCCCTGGGTCAGTAAGCTCCCCTGGAGGAGAAAATGGCAACCCACTCCAGTATTTTTGCCTGGGAAATCCCATGGACAGAGGAGCCTGGCGGGCTACAGTCTGTGAGGTCACAAGAGTAGGACATGACTGAGCAACTGAGCACGTGCACATATGCACTCCATGCTTAGTACCGACACTAGACTGATTTAATTGTAGTTGCTAGCAATAAACCACTGGAAACCACTGGACTCAATATTTTAAAAATCTTTTAAAAGCTTATCCTGTGATTCTAATGCATCTTTAAAGTTGAAAACCACTTATCTAAGCCCTTAACTCTTAAGCTGAGCTTCCCTGGTGGCTCAGATGGTAAAATCGTCTGCTTGCAATGCGGGAGACCCAGGTTCAATCCCTGGGTCGGGAAGATCTCCTGGAGAAGGAAATGGCAACCCATTCCAGTATTCTTGCCTGGAGAATCCCATGGATGGAGGAACCTTGTAGGCTAGAGTCCATGGGGTCACAAAGAGTTGGACATGACTGAGTGACTTAGCTTTAACTCTTAAGTCCAAGTTTCATAGTTGAAGAGGAGTATGGCAGTGATCTGGAAATGACTGTTCCAGGTACTGGAAGGATTCCTTTCCCTCGTCTGCTCAGAAGTCACATAGCTGACCTTTTACAATGCCCCATGGTTGAGCACTCTGATCGTTCCTACTAATACAATTCACAAACAAGCACTAAGACCAGGACTCTGTGTTTACAGAGGATTTTTCTTTAATGTACTCATAAAATGGCTCTTTCAGACGCAGCCATGGCACCTTGACTTTCATGGAGACCTTGAATCCAGGAGCAGGTAGAGCTCACAGCTCCTCAGAGAGGAGAAGCTGTAGAGAGGGGACAGCCTGCTTGGTTCATGCAGCAGTGCCGTTCCTCAGCTCCACAGCCTCCCGCTGAGGTTGTAGCAGGCCTTGGACTCTTGGCTATGGCCCAGGGGGGCGTCCTGAACAAGAAGGAGGTGGGTCTTAGAGCTTGGGCTGGTTGGGCTGCAGGGTGTCCCTACCTTTCCTCTTTTCCTGGGCCAGGGACACTCTTCAGAGGAAAGGTAAGTGCAGCCAGGGTTCCTGGGGTCCAGGAGAAGAGTTCCTCATTCCCCAAATTTGCAGGTCAGATTTCTTGGTTGCCACCAACTGTTGAGTCTCTCTGAGGACAAACTTGCAAAACGTCAAGTTCCCTGGGCAGATTCTGCCCTGATGTAGTGTTTGAATTATAACACTTTCCTTTCTTCTTTGAAGGGGGAGGAAGAATGGGGCAGACCAAGAATCCCATGGTGAGACATTCTCTAAAATAGAGTTCACACCCATCCTATTCTGTAGTTGAGGCAAGAAAAGTGATGTGGTTTGGCCAAAGGTTGCTCGATTGGTTAATGGCAGAGGCTGATTTAGAATCAGGGTCTTCACCCAGTACATAGTGTTTCTCACCATCAGGTGCTTATTACTTTTCCTAAAAGGAATTTCATAAGCTTTTTTTTTTTTTTATTTACACCAGTCTTCCTCTCATTGCCATGCCTCCCATTCTGCTGAGAAGGCCATCCTAGACATTTGTCTACTTTTACTTCTTTTCCCTTTCTATCTTTCTGGTAGCCAGGACTGGGCAGAGTTCATCATTCCAGATGTCTTCTCTCCTTGTGGGAAACCTGGATCTGTTGGCGAGTTGTGTCTTTTTGGAAGGAGCACTTCCATTTCTTCCTTAGGGGAGTTTCCAAGGTTGTAGCCTGGATTTGAACGTTGGGTGAGATCTGAGGGTTAGGGACAAAGGTGTCTTTGGGGATATTTATTCAGTCAATAAATATCTGTGTGCCTCCTATCTGCCAGGCACTCTTCAAAACCACAAGAGTATAACAGTCATCAAGACAGCCCACATCCCTACCCCGATAGAATTTGTGTCCTGATGGGAAGATGGAGATGGTAAAAATCGTTAAAGCAGGGTGTTAGGTAGCAAGAAGTGCCAAAGAGAAAACTGGTGCGGGGAAGAGGATGAAGATTTCTGAGGCATGGGGGTATGGGGTTTGTAATTTTGAACATGAGAGTCTAAGAGGAACCTATGGGCAAAGGTTCGAATGAGGTGGGGCCGTGAACCTGCCAGTGTTACGGAGAAGAGGATTCTTCACCAGAAACACAGCCTGTGCCATGGACCTTTGACCTCGCCAGTTATTATGAAATGACTGTCTTGGGGTCAGCCGTGATGGCCTCAGAGAAGCTAAAGGTGAGTGGGGAGGCTGAGTGAAAGCGCACTGACCTTGGTGGTGAGAGTGCCCCATGGCTTCAGGGAGTAACTCCTAAAGAAATGATACAGAGGGTGGAAAATAGTGTCAGAAGGACTACCCTGATAACAGCTGTTAGACCAGAGGCGGACCACCATTCGCTTTTCAAAGGGGGCTGATGGAATGTTATACAATTTGTTTGACCTTTCCTTCTGCAGTTGAACCTGTTACTTCCCTGGAGGGATTGATTAAGTCTCTTGATTAAGCCTTCTTTCTAGAAAGGCTGGTTGTGAAGAGACAGATGGTTTGCCACTAGTCAGGCCACCAAGAGAAGGTGCTCTGAGTTGTGGGTGGAGCCGAGCCTGTTGATGCGTCGGTAACACAGATTCCTGTGGGAGAAATCCACAGAGCCCGTCACGGTGTGCTCCTTCCAGGATCACTGGGTGACTTAGTTTACCT